CTCCAGCCTGGGTGACAGAGCGAGACTCTGTCTCAAAAATAAGTAAGGAAATATATATATTAAAAAAATTATGTCTCTAAGTATATATACTTATATGTTTATGTGTATTAAGTGTTCTGTGGTTTTGAAGACTATGACAGAAATTAAAGCAAGTTAGATTGGCTGAATGTGGTACTTTCAGGAACAGTCAGGGGAGACCTTAATGAGGTCAACATTAGAGCAGAAACTTGAATGAAATGACTATGTGAGCCATGAGGATTCTGCTCCTTTTCAGCGGGGGTAATAGTAGCTGCTAGCCTTGGACAGGAATGTGCTTGGTGGTTTTCAGGAATAACCAAAAAGTCACAGTGACTGAAGGGAGGAGCTGATTGGAAGAAGGGCAGGAGGTGAGTTGAGGGTGGCAGCTAGAGTCCAAAGGTAAGCCTATCATAAGCCTTACTCAGTTAATTTTATTTTTAATTTAGTGGTAGATTTTCAGCAGATGAGCAACATCTGATTTATATTTCTATAAGATGTTTCTCACCTGTGTAGAGAAAATGTTGGGCGGGGCATAGGGCATAGAGAGCTCATTAAAGGCCTATGGTAGTTTTCCTTATGAGTGATTGTGATAGCTTAGACAAAGTCAGAAGGCAGGAGGGAATGGGATGAGGTTTGATTCTCTCGGTATTTGGAAAATGGGGCAATAACAAAAGAACTAACATTTGTAACATCAGAAAGAAGGGAAAGAGGTGTTTAAAGTATTTGAAGAAGTAATGGCTGGACCTTCTCAAATTTAGCAAAAGTTATAAAACTACATTTTCCCAAGTCTGAAGTAACATCAAATAAGTTAAGTCCATGGCAAACTCCCACTGTAATTAAATCTTTGAAAACTGAAGACAAAAAAAATATTCAAGGTAGCCAGGGAGAAGCAACACATTCCCTACAGGGAATGACTGTGGATTTCTCTTCTGAAACTGTGGTGGCTGGAAGGAAGTAGTGTATTTTCTCAAGAACTGAAAGAGAAGCACTATCAAATAAAAATTCTGTATCTTTTGAAACTATATTCATGAATAAAGGGGAACTGAAGGCATTATTAGACAGGGAAGCTAAGAGAAAATGTTGCTAGCAAACCTGCCTTTAAAAATTGGCTAAAAGTTCTCTAAATAGAAAGGAAATAACAAAAGAAGGCTTGGAATTCAGGAAAGAAAGAAGATTGGAGGTTGGCAGAAATGGGGATAAATATATTTTTCTCATGAGTTTCTAGAATCATTTTCTATGGTTGGAGCAAAATGCTCTGTATGTAGGGGAAACACTTAACACAATTATATTTTAAAAGTGGGGAGGGTAAAGGGGCCTAAGTGGAATGAAACTTGGTACATTTCACTTGAAGTGGTAAAATGCCTGACGGAGTGTGATAAGTTACATATGTACATTTTTATACCTGGAACAACTACTGAGAAAACTATAAAATGTGATACACTTAGAAACACTGTAAATAAACCAAGACGGAATCTAAAATTTAGGAATATTTATATTCCATAAAAAATATTTATAGAAAACAAAACAAATAGCAGCCTAACAGAGCAATATTTACCTTAAATGTAAAAAGTACACTAATTAAAATACAAATTGGCAGAATAGAAAAAACATAAAGCATGATTCTAAAATTTTTAATTTTTGTGAGTACATAGTAGGTGTATATATTTTTGGGGTACAGGAGATGTTTTGATACAGGCACGCAATGTCTAATAATCACATTAGGGTAAAGTGGGTATCTATTCCCACAAGTGTTTATCTTTTGTGTTATAAACAATCCAGTTATACTCTTTTAGTCACTTTAAAATGTACAATGAAATTATTTTTGACTATAGTCACCCTGTTGTGGTAGCAAATACTAGGTCTTATTCATTCTTTCTAACTATTTTTTTGTACCCTTTAACTATCCTCACCTTCCCCCTACCCCACCCCATTATCTTTCCCAGCCTCTGGTAACCGTCCTTTTACTTTCTACCTCATCTCCATGTGTTCAGTTGTTTTAATTTTTAGCTTTCACAAATAAGTGATAACATTCAAAATTTAATATTCTGTGCCTCCGTTTCCGTCTAGGTTGTTGCATATGACAGGAACTCTCATTTTTTATGGCTGAATGGTACTCCATTGTGTATATGTACCACATTTTCTTTTTTTTTTTTTTTTTTTTGAGACGGAGTCTCGCTTTGTTGTCCAGGCTGGAGTGCAGTGGCCGGATCTCAGCTCACTGCAAGCTCCGCCTCCCGGGTTCACGCCATTCTCCTGCCTCAGCCTCCCGAGTAGCTGGGACTACAGGCGCCCACCACCTCGTCCGGCTAGTTTTTTGTATTTTTTTAGTAGAGACGGGGTTTCACCGTGTTAGCCAGGATGGTCTCGATCTCCTGACCTTGTGATCCGCCCGTCTCGGCCTCCCAAAGTGCTGGGATTACAGGCTTGAGCCACCGCGCCCGGCCCCACATTTTCTTTATCTGTTTATCT